TATATATATATATCCTATATATGTCCTATATATATATATATATATATCCTATATATATAATATATATATATTTTTCTGATATATATATATATATCAGAAAAATCTCACTTCTCCTTTAGCCCTCAATTTATTTTACAATATTAATTTGAAAGAGACTGTAACTGTAGAATACAGTATATTGTTTTTTAAAAAATTTATGAAACATTACAACCCACTATTGGGTTCATTGCTACTGGTTTCCTTACGTCATTACCTCATTCTCAGTGGGTGTATTTATGTGTCATTTTTATGTAGTACATCCACAATAATACAGTGTACAATGTATAGTAAAATTTTCTTTGGACCTGCTGGGTATACGCTTTTTGTCCCAGTTTAGGTCATAGGTATAGTCCTATATAGGTCCTTTTAAAGGATCTTTACTTATTGTTAAAAATAATGCTTTTTAGGTAATAAAATCATATTATCCAATAAATGATTGTGGATACATTTTCTGATTGTCTTATTAGGAACTTTCAGACCTGCAGAGGGACCCTCCTGCCCAGTGTTCTGCTGGACCAGTTGGGGATGATTGTAAGTACGACATGTTTTGTTATACAGTATTTTGCCAGCTTTGTCATTGTGCTTGCCTCACTTGAGTTTATTTATATATTTCCTCCACAGTGTTTCATTGGCAGGCCACAATAATGGGTCCGGTAAGTGACATGTTAACATGTTGACATGTTAAGTGACAACTTTTTTATAAAAGAACAACCATGTAGTTGCTGTTTTTAAAAAGAATTATGTAATTCATGTCTTTATATTTCGATAGAGTGACAGCCCCTATCAAGGTGGAGTGTTTTTTCTTACTATTCACTTCCCAACAGATTATCCATTTAAACCACCTAAAGTAAGTAAGAAATCTGTTGAATTTCACAATGTACAGATGCAATAACCTACATACAATTACAAATGTTTATGGCTGTACTAAAGGGCTGGTGTTTTTCTTTTACAGATTGCATTCACGACAAAGATTTACCACCCTAATATCAACAGCAATGGAAGTATTTGTCTGGATATACTGAGATCACAATGGTCCCCTGCCCTAACAGTATCGAAAGGTAACGTGAAGCAAATAATCTCTATCACGCCTATATTTGAAATCTCTAATCTTTAATGATCCCCCCCCCCCCCCCCCCCCCCCATTTGTTATGGAGACTGCGTACTGCACTTACTCTGCCACCAACAGTTGAGAATATAAAGCAGACTTTGAAACAATGGCTTTTTTTTTTTTTTAAGGGAAAAGTGAGTATGGAAATTTGATGATGTGTTGTATTTGTGGATGTAATATTCTTTACATGCAAAATAGTTTTAAGTTTTCAATAAATTATTAGCAGTAATGGTTGTTGTTGGGTCTTTGATTTGACTTAAAAACTCTAAACTAAAAAAATGATTGTGATAAAAGTCCCAAATTTCATACTTGGGACGCAGCTTACAACTCTACCAAATGCAGGGGACTGAAATAATTAGTCAAATTACTTGACAACAATTGCTTTGGTTTGCTTTGGTGATGGACAGATTGACAGATGAGGTCAGACAGGAGTCCCCATGGACTATGTTGTTTGCAGATGACATTGTGATCTGTAGAGAGAATAGGCAGCAGCTAGAAGAGAACCTAGAGAGGTAGAGGTTTGCACGAGAGAAAAGGAATAAAGGTCAGTCGCAGCAAGACAGAGTACATGTGTGTAAACGAAAGGCAGAACAGTAAAATGGTGAGGTTGCAAGGAGCAGAGGTGGTGAAGGTACTTAGGATCAACTGTTCAGAGCAGCAGAGACTGTGGAAGAGAGGTGAAGAATAGAGTGTCAGGAGTGCTTTACAGGACGGTGGTGAGACCAGCCATGATGTATGGTTTAGAGACACTAGCAACAGGCAGAAGACAGGAGGTGGAGCTGGAGGTGGCAGAGTTAAAGATGCTAAGAATCTCTTTAGGAGTGACAAGGATGGACAGGATCAGGAATTAGGTCATTAGAGGGACAACACAGACAGGAAGGTTTGCAGAAAAAGCTAGAGAAGCCAGATTGAGATGGTTTGGACATGTGCGGAGGAGGGACAGTGGATACATTGGTAGAAGAATGCTAGCGATGGAGCTACCAGGTAGGAGAAAAAGAGGAAGGCCAAAGAGGAGATTTAAAAGTGAAAGTGAATTATTTGTCATTGTAACACAGCACACAACGAAATGTGACCTCTGTTTTTAACCCATCACCAAAGTGAACAGTGGACAGCTTATAAGCTGCCCGAGGAGCAGTGTGTGGGGACGGTGCCATGCTCAGAGCACCTCAGTGGTAACTTGGCAGCTGATGGACTCGAACCAGGAGCTCTCAGACCCAAGTCTCCACTTCCTTAACCACTAAGCCACCATGAAATGAAAAGAAAATGAAAAACGATGATTCACTGTGGCAACCCCTGAAAAAGGGACAAGCTGAAAGGAAATGAAGACTTGACAACAATTAAGCATTTACTGAAAAGTTTTTAAATTTAGTTTCTAGAATGGAGAGTTCTGAATCATTATTGCCAATATTTGCATCTGTTTTTCAGGTACAACAAATTAGCAAGAGAATGGACACACAAGTACGCAGTCTGAAAATGCCAGGGAGATCAAAACACAAATGAGAACTAAAGAAACATGTTTGATTTGTAACTTGTGGCAAATGAGGCAAAATAAACTAAACAACAGCCCATGGTTTGGAGAAGGATACAATATAAAGAGGTACAGTGCCACCTGGCTTTCTGTGTGCTGAGCTGCTGCCATGTGCTGCCCTTCATGACTTGTATGGCTCTGCTGATGATCATGTGCATAATGTTTACTGAAACAGCCATTTCAGTGCACTATGTGGAAGCTAAACGTTTTATTTAGTAGATTGGTTTGCCCTTCATTTCAAAGGTACTGTCATTCTCACTGGATGTCTTGTTATTACTGTAATTCTTCTCATTTTAGTGGCCTTTCTTTGTCATATTTTTCTCAGAAGGTATTTGTGCAATTGAGGCAGAGATGGTACAGTGCCATTACCAGCAGCTGATCTGTTGACACATACTGTCTCTTACCTGCTCAATGTGAAAGATATAAAGAAGAATTGGTCTCCATCACCCAATGCAGTTAACATTACAACCATACTTGGTCCATTGACACTAACTGGCCCTTGCTTTGCTATTTTGAGATGCCCCAGGGCCAATAACAGCACCCACTGCTTCCTTCAGATGGTCTTTCATATCAGTTTTGAGTAGCAGTCCTCGGTTGATGATCATAGTGCATGGAAATCTACTGTTGCATGACTTGAGAACATGGCTACTCTTCAGAACAGAAGAGTTCAGCTGTGTGCCTCCTCTTTAGCACAATTACTCAGGTATTTTACCAACTCATCAGCTTTTATGTTTCCTAGATCAATACGTTGTCATCATGCTACTTAAATAGTACCGTTCTCTGTTTTGGAGATATTACAGAGAAGGGTTCATGCAATGAACAGGTCCATTTTTATCTAATATTTCATACAGACTGCTATATCCTGTTTTATCACTTTTATAAGGGTTTCTTCTCATTATCAATTAACGGTAGTTAATATGGTCACTCATCCTTTTAATTTCAGAAACTTTAAACACTTTGTGAACAGCTGTTATGCTGCACATAGTTTAGTTTCCAAACTTATTTGGAAACTAATTGAAAGGTGTATTTGGTTAGTGCAGTGGTCACTTTTACTTGAAAAGGGAACCTTGATCAAGCTTGACAATGTGTAGAACATAGTGAGTGAAAGTTTTGTGCTTTTTTTTTGTTCCGAGATATCAGTCAATCTATCAGTTTAAAGAATTAGGGTGATATTGAGTTTTAAAGCATTTCTTTATATTTATCATATTGTTTGTCATTTTACAGAAAATCAAGCTCTAGGTGGCAGACTTATTTCATTTTAATATTGTCTTGATCTTTATAGTTTTAGGCCTCTTTTTCTCGTTTTCTCTTAATGTCATCTGAATTGGATGTGGTAATAGGTTGTCATATTAGTTTAATGTAACCTGTTGTGACTGTTGGGGGAAAAAATAGAAAGTGCAATGTTTCAAGTTTTCTTGAAAATCACTGCTCATACTTGATGCTGCCAATAAAAAGGGACTAATGATTTGTGAAGGGAAATTGTCATTCTATTTGAGGCATTAGTTAATGGAACTCACCAGATATGTTATAGTAATGCATGAAACCTTCAGTGAAATTAACAACAAGCTTTAGACAACAGATATAGATTTTTGCTGTTAACTACTGTAGAGAAAATTATCAGAACAAATTATCTTGACTTACAGTACATACTTTTTGAATGTATATCTTCTTAATGCAGTTTAAATAATTTACTAACAGTAGGCACTTTGTGGCAGAGATCTTGACAGGTGACAGCTGGAAAAAGTGCAGGCTTAAATAATCAAATACAGCTCCATGTTAAGGTGCATGTTGGACTCACTCGCTCACTCACTATTCTCACTTACATGAATTGCACAAGCCTTTTTTGTCAATTCTGCCTGTTCTTTTTCTAGAAATAAATCAAAATGGCTGCCTTGCAAAAGACTGTTGAAACAACATGCGTACAATAGCACTTGTTCAAGTCCTATGTGCATTTTTATTGTTTTATCATTTGGCTATTTATTTATTTGAAAGCAGAGACTCTTTGTCTGATTGTCTTCGGCCTTTAGTTCTTTATGTGGATGATGCTACATCAACGTCCTTGTTCCAAGATTCATAAAACACGGGACGTGTTGGTAAACTGTCCATTGTGCCAATAGATGGTTTTGCCATGAGGTTTATAAGAGTGATGTGGGAGTTATTTTACAGTCATTGGAAGGGCATGAATTTTGGGACACAACATCAGTAGTGTACCTTTGAGTCACTGGGTGTTTTGGCCTTTCAACACTAGACACCCTTATCAAAGGCGGCCAGCTACGGGGTGATCAAGCCTGAGCTTGTGTCCCAAGCCCAATTATGACTGTTGCCTGGTGTTTAAAGTTGACAGCTGATTATCTGATTATGCAAAACAGGGGCACCCTTTCCCCTGAATGACGCCTAGCTCGCCCACATAACCTGTTTACTTACCAGTGGTCTCAAATGGGAGGTGGAGTGAGTGGGGATACGTGAGGGGTCTTCTGGGCCTAGACCGCCCGCATAACTTGTTTACGTTCTTGTGGTCTCAGATAGGAGGTGGAGTGGGGGGGTATACGTGAATGGGTCAAAATGTTTTCTGGGGGAACAGAGTACTAGGTCTGGTCTAAGGGTGGTGGCTGCAATCTCCGGGGGGATGATTAGCTGTTGGCCGATATCAGCTAGCATCTTCCAATCCCGTGCCGTGGCTATGTCGCCAGCAGCATCTGGTATTTTATTGGAATAGCTGGGCTTTTTCTGTCCCTCTCGGATGAATGCTGGTACTTTGAGGTTGGTTGCTCTCAGGGGCAAGGAATTTGTGGCATTCCTTTTACTCTCAATAGTGACTGCCATGCTCTTGAGCACCTGGTTGTGCCTCCAGGTCTCGCAACCGGTCAAGATGTGTTTTAGAGTTGCTGGAATATGGCAAAGGTCACAAGTTGGGTCCTCACCGTACCACACGTGGAGGTTTTTTGGAAATGGGAGCACATCATAGGTTGCTCTGATGATGAAGCTGATGTTGTTTGCCTCCATTTCCCAGAGTTCCCTCCAGCTGAGTTTTCTCTTCTCCATAACTTCCCACGTCATCCATTGTCCCTGCTTGGCAAGAGAGACCACCCTTGCGCTTCTTTTGGCCTCCTCCTGACATCGCACCTCCTCCACCACCATTTCCTCCTCTCTGAAGTTGCATCGCATGGTATCCATTTCTGTCCAGTTAACAGGGATGGTGCAGCATTGCTGATGGTCTGGTCCCTGGAGGCCTCCAATGTCATCAAAAGTCTCATTTTGGAGCACTTGTACTCTTCAGTGAGGCTTGTGATAGGCAGCTTTTCCGTAGAGGCCGATGTTAGTTAGACAGCGTGGGACCCCAAGTCATTCTTCACGTATGAAGTTACGGTTCGCTCCATTTTCTCCACAGTTGTTAATGGGACTTCATAGATTGTAAGTGGCCACAGTATTCAAGGGAGAAGTCCGAAATGCAGGCACCAAAGCTTAAGTTTTCCTGGCAGAAGGGTCTTG